TCTTCTCAATTGCTTCCTGGGACACGGATGTTCGCTTGTATTGGCAAAATATCCTGTCCTACAACCACGACATCGGTGAACGCTACTCCCAGGCAAGATAACAAATTTTTGGAATATATAACTTAAACGGAAAAATTCGGAATCCATTCTCCGAATATAAATGGTTTTGGATAACGAGATTTTGGCCAAAGGGAAAACGGAAATCAACCTCCACGGCTACTGTACACTAAAGACAACTTTATGCAAGGTAAACCGAGACATGAAATCTAAGTGGCGAACGTGATATATTCATCAGTGATGATTGAATCGTTATAAAGAGGTCGGCGAAAAAAAAGAGGTTTAAGGTGGGAACGGTGGAAAATTACGACAGCACTCAGCGAGCATGGGGATGGATGCTTACTTTAAGACAGACGGGCAAAGTGATTGGCTCTCGTAACTGCTTGCAGAGTTGAAAGAACAGTTGACCACTGATTTGTTCGGTTTGTGCCGCGATAATTCTGACAACGGGTACCGATTGGCCATGTTTTTTACATATGCGTTTGGCGTGAGCAAGGATATTCAGAGCGTCTTCATAGTAGCCATTTTGCACACAAGTTTCCATTAATTGCGGCAATTCCAGGAATTCGAGAAGCTGACAAGAAAAGAAGACAGTCCGTCTGGGGTTGACATAGAAAAGCAAAGGGGCTGTAAAAGATTGAATTATGGGGCATATAGTTGTGGATGCATAAATTAGTGTAAGTATTTTAAGACAAAATCGGCTTAGAATTACATAGACAGGCGCCCATCACCAAATGCAAATGTTTTCAAATTTTAAATTATTTCTTGGCGCTAGTTATGACTTTCAGAGTTTTCTTATTGGTGTCTGTAACATCCCCTCCTGTTCAGTCAATTTCCAATCCAAAGGTTTTGGCATCATACTATCGTAGCGCAGCTTAAGACACGACGCTTTTCCATTAAAATTTAATTGAACGGACACAAACTGTCAGATACGATATTGTAATAGGCTCACGATTTCCTCGGATGATGTGCTACATTTAATTGCCGTATGCTGAAAGTGGTGTTCTTCGTAAACCGCAAGTGTTTCTCAAAAGGATGCAAAATCAACACTATTAACTGTCTGACGGGAGAGAGAAAGCAGGCTGGCAAATATCCTCAGGTTTATGTAAATCCTTTCAGAATGCAGCAAGGCTCACATCGTTCGATGTGGCATGCACGAACTATTCGTCAGCCTCTTACCCCTAATATGGCCTTCTTAACAAATGCTTAGGCCAGACTGTGCACCCACCGGCGATGATGATGAGTTGACTGATGAAGCCCATCAATGCTTTCTAGAGTCAGGCGAAACCCCTCAAAATGACGATCATTACAATCAAACCTGAGGCATGCTAAGGATGCATGAAGCCTAGGCCGCCACACTATCTAGCACAAGTAGCAGAGTACATTTAGAAGCTGAGCAGAACAAATAGTGTCAGAAAATGTAAAATATACGCAGAGTATATCATTTACGTAAAGTATGCGCATCTCTGCCAGATGAACTTATTTCTGCAGCCAATACGACAGCTTTATTTAGTTCTGATCAGCGGTTAAAGAGAGTTTATCATTCTAGTCTATTCCGGCATCTGGCAGCTTCGTTATATCTGCCGCAACAGGCCCAGTTCGGTCGACTATTGCCAAATGAGTATTGGGAGACAAATATATAAACCCTTATATTAACTGCATTCTTCGTATAAAGACTGTTGTGAAGGTATGCATCCAAATATGTCGCAGTATTAGAATTGCGTTGGGTTCAATGTATTACTTGATCACTTGACATCAAGGAAAAGTAGCGTTGGGCGTCGCTGATCCTCAAAGTATAACTTATGGCCTGTATGGTAAGTAATTATTAACCATACTGGCAACACAGGTACTAGCTAAAAGCCCAGACACGTGCTTCGCCGGCATTCTGTCATTGCTTGACACAACTGTGAGGGGTCCGACTCATCAGAGTACAACAGTACACTATTAAGTCAGAGGACATTTGCAAACTGAAATGAATTTCCGTATAATTAGTGAAATTGTTAAGGAGAAGACGTTTTCTTGTAGAATTCGCGTTTGAAAGTCGGGTGGGTTACGTACTAACGCTTCTTAAGAAGTCTGAAAGATAAGTTACTTAGCATATATAATTCAGTGCAGAACAACCATTGTTCTGAATTTTTTACAAGCCAGTAATTTTTAAGCAAACAGAAGGTGATAGGAATCGGGAAAGGTACTTTACTAACGATGATAAGCTTGACATATTTCCTTATTAATTACCCATTTATAGTATGCACAAAAATATACAATGGGGACAAAAACTGTTAAGAGTTAGGAGTAAGCCCTAAAACCTGCAATACAGTTACGAAATACCATACCTAAACGGTACCTGTGTATGATTTTGGGCCAACCTCGCATTCCGCCTGAACTTAAGTCCGTAGTTGTCTGTCTTTCGAGAGATAGCCTGGGCTGTTGATAATGCTTGGGATACCAGATTCAACAGTAAATCGTTAGAAGTGGAAATTGACTCAAATTCCCTATGCACCTCACGACTGGTGCTCGCGTTGGCCAAAAATATTGGGTAGTTTTCAACAGCTAGTTTTTCAGTTTGATGACGAAGACTTTCTTCTTCTGCTTGTATACGAGAGGGAGCCTCGGCGAGTTCTTGTAAAGACAAGGCGGATAGCTGGGCAACACATCCTATTAGCTGCTGATCATCAACCGTATCCATTTGGACAGATGAGAGAAAGAGAAGCTGCATAAGCTTTTCTACCTCTGACTGTTTGGACTCGGAAGCCTCAGAAGGGACAGATACGGACTCCATGTCTAAACTTTAAACGACACGTGTCAATTGACACATTGCAATCAAATATTAAGATTTCAGAAGTAAAAAGAAATATTATGACACAGCTTTATTATGAGAAAGAAAATTTAACGGAAAAATAAAAGGTAACCAGCCATGGTCATACAAGCAAGCGCGATGACA